CGGGTGACCCCCCTTTCTCCCGGTGCTCTCACTCCCCCCTTACCACCCCAAACGGATGTTCGGTAGGTTTGTATAGAGTGAGATGCCACGCGTACTCCAAGCCCGTGGACGGGTTAGGAGTTGAGGTGGCGGCGGCGACCCCGCTACGGTTGTGGCAGACGCGCGGGGCGGATGAAGGAGGTATGATCAACGAGGCGGAGCGGGCGTACTACAGCCGGCCTTTTCCGATTCAGTATTGTGACGAAGAAGTGGACCTGAATGAGGGTGTAGTTTTTGCGACTGAGATCGACCTGCTAAATACGGCGGGTGGCGGTCTGGTCGGTGGCGGTCTGGCGGGTGGCGGTCTGGCGGCCGGTAAGGTGGGTAGCCACCATGGTCAGGTGGGTGGCCACCATGGTCCGGCGGGTAGCCAGACGGGTAGCCACGGTGGTATGGGTCCGAATGGAAAGGAGGACGTGCTGGGTGCTGGCGAGAGTTGCGTCTATTTGGATTTTGCTCTCCTCTTTGCGGAGAGCAAGCACCCGAGTGGGTCTGAGGAGTTCGTGGAGGCGGCGTTCCAGACGCTGAAGGTAGTAAACCCGCACCTCGGGACGGCAACAGGATACCGGCTGACATTCGACTCTTTCCACTCGTCGGTCACGACCATCTCGGTCATTACATGTCTCGCAGACATCAAACGTGCGACCGCACGGCGCGACCTGAGCCTTACCGCACCCGTTCTGCCGGTCAAGGCCTTTCTGCCCAAAGCGCCGCCCTCGCTTAAGTACATTGGTCAGGCGGCAGTTGGCAGCCATAACGGAGTCCAGGGTGGCGGTAACCATGCGGGACCTGGGGGCGCTGGCCCTCCTGGCGCAAGTGTGGAGAAGAAGTTGAATGCGGTCTACGACTCGGAACGGAACGTGGCATTGGCGCTGGATGCGGACGCGCCCGTCTACGGTTCCCAAGAACGGCGCGTGGTCGAGACGGAAGGCTACCGGCTACCCAAAGCCGGTTCCTGGCACGAACCAAGTTTCCACGACTACCTTTGTCTCTTTGGCGCTGGCTCCTCGGAACCACTCCCCGTGGATGTGGGCCAGGTCCTGCGAGACCGCGCAGACGCAGCAGACAAACACTTCCAGACTTTGCTCCTGCGTAGTTACTTCGTCCTCGCGGCACTTACACACACTCTCCTTAGCCGCTGTCTTGTCCCTGCCGACGCCGCACACTACTCCTGGCTCACCGGCCTCTCACCTCTCCACCTCCCCGGCGGCCTCACTGTCTACTGCGGCCCCGACGGCCTCCCTGACCCCAAAGAACCTTTCAAGTGCCCCACCGATGCCCTTGCTGACACTTCGGCACACACTCTCTCAACCCACGGTGTCTCCCTCGGCGACCGCTCCGCCGGCACCCGCTCCGCCGGCGCCCGCTCCGCTGGAGGCCGGTCTGCCGGCGGACGGGAAGGAACTGGAGGTAGCAGCCGGCGCGGTGGGCTCGACCGCGCCCTGGAGAACCAACGGACAGCCAACTTGCGGAATGACTACGCGAGAAATTCGGGCATCACGGACAGCATTCATGTCACGGTTGAGAACCGGCACCTCCCGTTCGACTTTGAGAACAAGGCCCGCTCCTGCCACAGGTACTGCTCTCTCAGCAGAGACCAGCGGTCGCCGTCACCGAGTAGGCCCCCTTCCCAGAGCAAGCCACCTTCCTCGCGACGACGACCGTCTGAAAGCCGACTCACGCACCTGGCAGACCCTTTGCTGGGTCCTCGTCCTCCTTCGGCGACTGGGCACCAATTAGCTGGCGGGGGGCGTGCCGGGAATGGCCGCATTGCGATTGAGCAACCGCTTGAACGCATGATTGATGGACGCATGATTGACGGACGCATAGTTGACGGACGGGTGACTGAGGAGCAGTATGGTCGGAGTGTGGGTCGGAATGCGGCTGGAGTTCGCGGGGGGGCCCGAGAGTCGTCGGTGAATAGTCGTGCTCGAACGACGGCGTCTGCGACCCCAGGTATGAAGGGCGACTGGTTGAATGGAAGTGTGACATTGTGTCTACCGTACAGTCCGTTGAGCGGGCGGGCGCGTATCCGCGAGGCCCACCGAACATTGACGGTGGACCTGGAGGCAGCTTTAATCGACAACGTGAATTTAATGTGGGCACAGGTGGCGGAGCGTTGGCACAAGTTATGCATGCTCATGTGTTTAGCCCAGCGGCAAGCCTGTTTCTATTTCGAACTCCTACAGGCCGTCAAGGAACAAGAAGTACTCAGTCGTGTGTTCCGGCGAGAAGTGATTGAGAAGGGTTTCCGACACGTAGAACCCGACCCCGCCGCTTTCCACACTTCAATTTCCGACCAGTACCGCCTATGCTGCGAATGGTCGGCCTCCGCCGTTGAGGACTGCCACGACCCACTGAATGCCAAGACGGCACCACTCATTTTTGAAGAGGTCTATTTGGCCGCAGGAAGCCGGACTTCGCCGCCATTGGGGGGAGGACCAATTTCTTCTAGCGGACCTGTGTTGGGACCGTCCGTTGGGCTCGGAGGCCCGTCCTTGGGGGGTCCGTCATCGTTCACGGGGCCGTCTTTAAGTGGTCCCGTGGGAGTGGTGACATCACCGTCGTCACGGTGCCACCCGGATTTATGTGCGGACACGCCGGGAGACTGGCTGGACGAGGCGGTGCCGTTTGAGCAGGTGACGTCTCCGCAGTTACCTATGTCACCACTGACCCACTTGGACCCCAAGACGTACGAGGGGCTACATTTGATCATCTTAGTCCACGGGTTCAAGGGGAATTCGTTCGACTTACGCATTTTCAAGAATAGTTTGCAGCAACTGTACCCGGAACACGTGTACTTGCTCAGTGCCGTGAACGAGAACAGGACGGACGACGACATCGAGGAACAGGCAGAGCGACTGTCACAAGAGGTGTATAAGTACGTAACCGACCTGTGTTCCTGGGCCAACATCGGTCGGGTCAGCTTCATTGCGCATTCGCTGGGCGGGTTGATTGTGCGCGCGGCCATTCCCCGTCTTTGCAAAATACCCGATCTAAACTCGGGCGACGGCACAAGCGTCAAGGACAAGCTCCATCTGTATATGTCTTTATCGAGTCCTCATCTGGGGTACACGGCAGCACGTAATAAACTTGTAGACGCCGGACTGTGGGTCTTGAAGAAATTCAAACGCTCTGTTTCCCTGGCACAGATCTGCGCCAACGACCACAAGGATTATAAACAGACGTTCCTCTACCGTCTCAGCAAAAACGGCGCTTTGCGATTCTTCGATCACGTCATCCTGGTATCCTCTCCGCAGGACAACTATGTTCCCTACGAGTCGGCCCGCGTCGAGTTCAGCCAACGAGTCATGAAAGACCCCATCTGGTGCACCATTCACCACGACCTAGTCACCAACATCATGGCCGACATCACCCACAACCCACAAGCCGAGGAAACCAACCGATTCCTCCGTATCGATGTCTGCTTCCGGATCGCCCAGAAAAATCTAGACTCCATTATTGGAAGGACAGCCCACATCAACTTCCTCTCCTGCGAACAACTCGCCTACATGCTCACGTCCAAATACGCAAGCATGCTCTCCTGACCGCAGTGCTCTTCTTACCTCCATGTGCTCCTTGCTAACCTGGTGCAGAAACCCGTGCTGTTATAGGCCAAACGTCTCATCCAGACGCGCCTCCTACCCGGTGCTTCGCATTCGATGTTCCCATCCTGACGCCTGTGTTGACGCCGACGCGCTGAGCAGACGGAGCGTCTGGAGACGGAGCGTCTGGAGACGGAGCGTCTGGAGACGGAGCGCCAGCGCCGTCGTGCGTTTGTGGCAGAACCGCTCAGGGTACTAGATAGATGAAGTCGCCTGCGGCAAGACTTCCTTCAGGCTTTACGTTACCGATTGTTGGTGGACTCCCGGCTGGAGTGGACTCCCGACTAGAGTGGACTCCGGTTAAAGTGTACTCCGGTCAAAGTGTACTTTCGGTTTAAAGTGGGCTACCGGTCGAAAGTGGGTCCTTGGACTCCAGTGAAGAGCACTCCAGAACCATAACTCTAAAGCACGCTGGTAGCGGGAATCAGGACCATAACTCTAAAGCACGCTGGTAGCGGGAATCAGGAGGTACGTACTGCATACACGGTGGTTGACGGCTCCAGTGGCAGCGTAGACGCCGACCGAGGCAGGATTCATTCCCGACAGCAGCCAGTACACGTTTTACTGTCACAGAGAAGATGTTGCTAAACGCTGCTACTAATGAAGGTGGCGAAATTGGAGGCGGCCATGATTTAAGGTTTACGTGGCGGCTTTCTAGTTTCGTTCTGGTAGCAGGATGAGGCAAGATTTTTTAGAGGTTCCTCGCTATCCGTGATCGAGACCACGAGCAGGGATTACGAGGGGGATGGCGCAGTCGTGAACACGGCTACAAATGTAAGGCCTTACAATTCGCCCGTGGCTCAGTCGCCGATTGAGTTGCCGCGGGCTTAGTTACTGATATTCTTCGGGTGGTTGGAAAGTCTCCGAAGGTTGGAGACTGAGGGGGAAAACGAGCCCAGAGAGGCTCGATCCACGTATTTATCAAGAATACCCGCACATGGGTGAATTTTTTGGGAATGCTTCTTCTTATATTCGCTTCTGCGTTTGCAATGAACCTCAATGATCGTCTGGCGCAAATCGCACAGCTGGCTTCCGAGTTTAACAACAACCTACCAGCCGATACTGGGGTCACCGAGCACGGGTCGATGGTCACCGCAGTGGGTGTTACGAAAGCAGATCTAATGTCGTCTGTCGACAACTATGTTGACAATCCTCTTTACAATCATACCACCGCCAACTACTCTGCCGATCAGGATTCCGGCAAGTACTCTTCTTCCAGAAATCAAATTAAGCCTTCTACACACATCCCGGCGACTCCGGGATCTGTGCCACAGGCTAGACCGGAAAAAGTTGCGGCCCTCCCGGACCGCGGTGCCTCTACGACCAACCGAAAAACAGCGCTCTCTGCCGGACCGCTCCCTGCCGCACCGCTCTCTGCTGCACCGCTCTCTGCTGCAGCCTTGATCCCTCAAGAACTAAGTAACGAAACGGCGGATATGAACATGCCCGATCACGAGATTTCGGACAATGAGATTTCAACCAGGGATGAGTCTGACTCCGAACAGGTAGCCAGAATTGAAGTGGTGACCACCGAGATGCCCCCGATAGACTTCGCGTCCGTCGAAAAACTGCTTCAACAACTCGCCCCGGCCGAACCCCCTTCGCAACTGGACCTGGCCATGAAACGTTTAGAACAAGACATAATCCTAATCCAGGAAACCGTCCACCGCAATGCGACCGTGGCTCAATCATCCGGCCTCGACCAGTTCGTTGCCGATCAAGCGGTGAAGCTAGGACTCAACGCCACTGAAGTGGAAAATATTATCCGGAAGGTATTCCTGCGACTCGCGGAAGCCGACTGACTGAGCAGCCCGCGACAGGTGTCTCTTTGACAGGGAAATGGATGATCCAGATCACAGAAAAAACGGGAACTTTTTTGCGCGCATTGACACGTCTACCTTGAACTTATAGCGATCTTGATCTTCGCCAAACACGCCCCCTCAGCCATGGGGCCCAGGATGTATATACTGGCTCCAGAACGTTCAGGTCATGTCTCCTTATCGGCCGGGCACGCTTTGTCTCCATATATATACTCGGTCGTTACTCGAGCAACATACAAATCATCGCAGTTGGTCCATCGAATTTTCATGTAAGCGAAAGACTTCACCCTGTGTGGTTGAAAGCTCGCGATCAGGCCGCTGCCGGTAATTCGCACGGAAACCAAATCCGGTAAAATCTTGTCCGCTGACGGCTCAAAGGATAGTCTGTCCGCCACATAAAATTCAGCTTCAGTGAGGTTGCACTTTTGTCCCACCATGCGCGTCTCTAACTGCACTGAATCTAACCAGTAATCAGGCGCCAATCGCTTCGCGGCAAACACGATCTCCGCCGTGGTTGATCCTTCAGGTGATCCTTCGCCTGAGTCGTTTGGTGATACAACAAAGTTATCTTCCAGCGCTTCAACACCGAATAATCCATACACATGACAGGCCCCGAACACGAAGGTAGAGCACGACCAGGTATCCACGCACTCTACCACCTTGTTCACGTAACGTTCCCCGAAGCACGTAGCGCACCGATACGGGATGGTAACGGTTCCACTATATTCATGAGGGACCATCGCCACAGCCACAGCCGCAACCGCTAGGAATCCTCCAACTAATACCATAGTGTGGTCAAAAAAGACTCTGGCTATGCATGTAATATAATATCAATATTGACAGAAGGATTGCCGCCAACAAAACCCAGCACCATGAAACATTGGTCTTTGTGCTGACCGGCGTGACTGGCGTGGACGCCGCCAGAAACGACGGCACATCACCATGAATATAAGACCGCGCATTCTCGTCTCCCCTAAAGAGTGAAAACCAATATACTTGGCAGTCATGCCGGACAGAACATGGCGCGTGAAGGACTTACTGGCATGCTTGGAAGGCGGCAGCAGGGTCGGAGGTGGCGGCTAAGTGTATTTCCGTTTCGTTAAACAGCTTCAGCACTCCTTGCGCAGTCCGCGGGTAGAGAAAAGCGCAAAACCCAAGCCAATAACGACCGCTTATGTCTTCAACAAGTTTTCCAGCATTCAAGAGAGCAGCCAAGCAGTTCGGGGGGTCGGAGCAATAAGCTCTGTAAACCCAGAACTTGTTTCTTGCTCGTCTCTCTGTCTTTCCATTCAACATTAATTTTCCCGCGCGGTCAGCACACACGTGTGCTCAATGTTGTGAAGCGCGCTTGTCTTGTTAAATAACTAACTAACGAGATTTCCTTGTGGTCAAAAGCTACTATGTTGAACAGCTTCAAATGTCTCCCATCCGTCGGGTCTTCCTCCAGTGGGTCGTCCCTAATGGATTTGCAGTTTGTTAAGACCATTTCACGGTTGGCTTACTTGAGTCTTCCTTATAGTGGGCACTCCCCGATGGTCCTTTGGAGTCGAGGATATAAGGTTGCCATTGGTGGATCTTACTCTTCTTAGGTTACCGGATACCGCTGTTGGAGCAGCAGCAGTGGCAACACATTGTCGAGAGACAGCGCCAGGGACAGCACATTGTCGTGACGTAGCGTCAGCCTTGTCGTATTCACATTTCCTCCGTCTCAAGTCGCTCTTAGTCGCTAACCAAAGATCCCTTCGTGCTCCCCCAGCCGCGTCGCGTTCTCTCGTTCGGGCATTGAACCAACCGCCCGACAAAGCCCCCTCCCTCTCCCTTGGTCCCCGCCTTACCAGATATTGCCGACAATGTTTCTACGCCGCCTAGAATCTCTTCGACATCATCCATCCTCCCTTTTTCTTTGAGCTGTATGTTTTGGATGTGCAGCAGCATGCTAGATACCTGGTCATCTCTCTCTCTCTTACAGGAGTCGTACTCATTCTACCAAGCAGCACAATTGACGAATGTGAGTGGCCTGCGCTCTTCGAGCAGTTCACGCCCCGCATGTGAGGAATCCTACGGATAACAATTGCAGTTCTTCTTTGAGGGTCTGCACATCGTACTTCGCTACGTCTATGGATTCAAGCAGATCCGCCTTTTTAACCGACAGATTCTCTGCTTCTTTATCGAGTTTGCTGGAAACGCTGGCCAAATCCTGAAGCAATACATACACTATGGACACGCGTGTGCAGGCAACCTACTGCATTGTCACCAACGAATTTTTTAACTTCCTGCTTCAGTTTATTGAGGTCTGCAGCGTAAGCTGCTTTTCGAAGGGTCAAATAGTTAATTTCGCATTTTTCATTCTCCGTTTTCACCAGGAGCTCAGTGTAAATATTACGGAATCTGTCCACTTGCTCCCTAAAGCGATTATTCAATCAGTGCAATCCCACCAAGAACACACATCCCTCGCAGGGAACCTACTTGGCGATGAAGCATTCCTGAATCAAAGCCTCCTTCTTGATTACTAGCTTCGTCAATTCGGTCTGTAGCTTTGCGGCTGCCTCTCTGTAGTCCTTAACCAACGAAGCGTATAACCTGGAAAAAAATGAAATTGGAAACAGTCCTGGTTCCTACAAAAGTTCTTTCCTGGATGTCCCGATTCCCATTTCCATCTTCTGCTGCAAGTTAGATTCTTCTTGCAGCATTCTCATCTCCATCACGTGCAATCGAGATTCCAGGGAGTTACTAAGTCCAACGCTGGAGCTAGGCGCGTATCTAAACATATTCACGATTGATATCATTACCATGAAGCCGTGATCTCCCGTGGATAGACCCAGTGGATAGACCCCCGTAACTGGTGCCCCCTGACCGCCCCTTCCCGTTCCCACGAGCATTTTCTCACACGTCCAGTTGATCCTGGTAAGCTTTGCAAAGTGCGGTGAATTCCGACCTATCCAATTCGGTACCAAACCTAAACAGATCAGGAATTACTTGACAGCAACAGGCCGGGAGGTCGGAGGAATCTTCCTTGTTCACGTACCGGTAGAGCTTAGGCAGATCCGGATAGTCGAAAAATCTCTTTGCAATTTCCGCAGGGACCTTTCCAGTTGATTGCTCTGGCGCGAGCGCGTAAAACCAAGTTTCCCAAACACGTTCCATGTTGGCATTGTAGATGCGAAAGAGGTTCGAGGATTTAGGCACTGCACAGCCGAGTTCATTATAGACAGGTAGGTTCGACAGACAATCGATCGGGCTATCGGTCGGTCGGCTGTCGAGTGCGTCTCGAATGGAATGGAGTGGTGATTTGGTAGTAAGTCACCCG